AACCTTTCAGATGATCAGATATTCCATTGAAGGTTAAGAACAAGTGCATTTGACGACGCGGCTTTAAGCATTTTGTGTGAATATACACTATGTTTTGTAATTTTTTTTCTTTGAAATAAACATTTTTAAGTTTTTTAAACAAACATTTGAATTTTTAAATAAATCGACCGACAATGTAAGCGAAGGCCGAATGGGTCTCAGTGATATTGGTCTTTAATAGCAGACATTGTATTAACATTAGATGTATTAACATACGCAGTAAGTCCTGTGTTTTATTATATTTTGTTTTGTTCTTCAATGGATTGGATGGATGTAGTATGGATTTAGTTTCACAATGCCATAGCATTGCCACTCATCTGAATCGGATGTTGGTTGTGTGCTATTAAACGTTGTTATTTCATTTTTCCTATATACAGCGAATATTTTTCCTATATATAGCGAATATATTTTGTTTTGTTCTTCAATGGATTGGATGGATGTAGTATGGATTTAGTTTCACAATGCCATAGCATTGCCACTCATCTGAATCGGATGTTGGTTGTGTGCTATTAAACGTTGTTATTTCATTTTTCCTATATACAGCGAATAATAAGACCTGTGTGTAATTCCGAATACCTCCGCAAACCATAGGCTGAGACAACACTGATTGACACATGTTTGATAGGGACATTATCTACTCAATGGGAATCCAAAATATTAAATTGTTCCCAAATTTTTGCAACATGTGTTTTGACGCTACTCAAAACACCGACCTTTGTCCAATATTGATAGTTTTTGGTAGGAAGATTCTTTAGCATACCACAACCCCCCAAAAAAGAACAAATTACAGCCCAAAACCATCAGAAAACCAAATATTGGAGGTACCGTTATATGGGGGCGACTTTGAAACATAAGCCAAAATTAATCATTTTCGTAGGCAGATATGATAGTCAAATTGAATAAAAAATACCTACTTACAGTTGAAAAGGGGTCTTAAATCTCCAAAATACCGAATAATGGGGGTACCATGACACGTGGGGCTTGCCTTAAAAGTAGGAATTTTTGATGCCCAATATTCAGTAGGAATATTTGATGCCCAATATGGTTGAAAAGTTTGTAAATAATCACAATATTACCGATATATGGGGGCTATACCAAACGTGGAGCAATATACGCTATTTGGAATGCCAACCATCCTAGGAGTAATATCAATGAGATAGAGTTTCAAAGCTCTATCTCAAGTGTTGCAATCTCTATCGTGACTTCAACAGACAGACGGACACGCAGAAATCGACATAGAATTTTTTGATGTCTTGCAAACGGAGGTTATTCAAACTTCAATGTGCGCCCTTTTATCAAACGAGACACATAAACGAGGCCATAAAAACATTTTCATGAAAGACTGTGCGTAAATATTTCTGTCATAATTATACTGTTTGATTGTCAGGGGCAATTTTGAAAAATAACCCTGACTAATGGCCACAGGAAGAGAGTTAAATCACATCCATGGTAGTCAATATTATATTAATCTTAACGTAATTTGTGTAGTGCTACTGTATCGCAATTTGTATTTGAACAATATCTCTCTCAACTGCGGACTTCTCAAGCGACACGCAGTGAGGTACGAACAGGAACGATTTTCCACCTGATAAGTGTACTATTGCTTCGGCAAGCAAACGACCACTTATTGTATGGGGAACTTGCCACCAAACCTGTTCGCCGACCGCAACAACAAAGATGGGCTCAACAACAAAGATAGTATATGATTATAATAATAAATGCAATCGTTGTTGCGAAAAGATTCATCGGTATGTATGATAAAACACTGACCCCAAGCCACAATTTAGCACACTTCTAAATATTTCATTTAATCTCCCGGTGTGGATATTTAGGTTGTAACGAATCTATTTGTTTTGTACAACAACATTTGCTGATCAAATCATGATATTACCAGGTATAATTATACAAGTGCTCAGTTCTAGAATCTGCTGATCCATTTTATCATAAAAATATTTATGGAATGTTTCCATAATATTTATAAATTACTAGCGGGCCCGGCAAACGTTGTCTTGCCTAGCAATATTGTTGATTTATAATTCTCGGAGTTTGAGATTTGTTTTAAAACCCCTCCACCATAAGGTAGAGTGTGCAGATCTTTGTAATATTTTTTTCTAATTTCACATTCTAAAGTTGCTGTTGATATAAATGTATTAATATTCTAATTCGTAGAAAAAATATTTTTAATAAATTTAGATGCGCATATAAGATTGACTTTCGGATATAATTACATTTTCCCAATATATTTATAAGACTTCGTTATAACGGTAGCCCAATATTAAGTTAGCTTTTTATACCCTCCAGTATAAGAGCTTTGAAATTTGGACATACATTACTACTCCTAGGATATTTGGTATTGAAATTGTTCCGTATTGGCTCTCTTTTAAGGGCAGCCCCCATAAAACGGTATTTTGTAATATGAGGAATTTGGACGATTTTTTCAACAGAATTGGTAGTAATTTTATTATATTTTGGATTGTCATTGAGCAGAAAGTTTCTGTACCAAAATTTATTAATGTTTCGGGGTGCCGTCCATATAATGGTAGCTCTCAATATTCGGTACTTTGAAGATCTTGGGCACGGCCTTCAACAGAATTGCTTCGAATTAAAAGGGATACTTACTGAGCAGAAAATATCTCTACTTAAAACTATCAATATAGGCCCATGTGTCCGGGTCTCCCCCTAATAACGTCATCCCTTTATATTCGGAATTTGGCTTAATTTTATATTTTGGATCATCATTTAATACAAAACGTTCCTAACAAAATCTGCCCAAGCTTCCCAAAAGCCTCCACATTACACGATCCTTTGGGGATTTGGGCATGTTTTTAAACCTAATCAGGGTATGTTTTTCAACCTAATCGTTGCTGGTTGTTTTATTTGGTAGCATAAATCCTACTAAAAGTTATCAATATTGGTCCATCTTTGTGGGGTAGCTCCTATATAGCGGTACTTGTAATATTCGGTATTTTAGGGAGTTTGGTCATGCCTTCAAGCAAATTGGCTGTAATTTTTTATTTTAGATCATCATTGAGTACAAAATATCTTTACAAAAAATTATCAATATTGGTTCCAGTTTCCGGGTAGCACCCATATAATGGTATCCCCCATACCATAACTCAAGTGGTGTCAAATCTTCCCACAAAAACCCATCACCATTCCCATTGTAATAGCTGTTATATGTCATTCCGGTATATTGGGGGGTAAGACACATTTTTGCAAAAAAAAATCTCTATTTAGGTTCAAGTTCTGATACAGCTCCTACATACAGGTCCCGCCCCAATTTCGGTATTTTAAATAGAGACTGAATTTTCTCAAAGAGTTGGCTATAATTAGACTTAATGGATTCCAGTTAATAAATAACATCATCCAGAAATTATGCACTATAGCGACATAAATCTCCGTTTTTGCAATTTTCCATTTTATAGTCACATGTTCAACCTGAATAGGTAACATCATGAGATTCTTTGTTACAATAAATGTTTTCGATGGAAATTTTGGTACAACCTTCACATTAGGTATTTTGCCTAGGTATTTTGTTGTCTTTTTATAAATTATAAAAACTGAGCTGGGCTTATTGATAGATTTTTGCAAAGAAAATATCTTGTATATTAGTTTTCTCTGTGATACAAATTTTTTGTGTCGGATATATGCGAGGTGTTCTGTTTATAAGTTCTAAGATATTGACAAACGATTAGGCATATAACCACCATAAAATGGTACCACCTGATTTGGTACTTTAAGGAAAAACATGGACACGAACTCCATTCAGAATGTCTTCTGATTTTCCATCCTAGCATTTGCCCCAACATTTACGTGCATTCTATGGAAGACGTGTACATACAATGATCGCGTGTAAATTTAATGAAATACTTTTCAATTTTTTAGGTATTCTGACATAAAATATTTTGAATACAATGTCAATGAAAAAATAATAATAAAATATTTTGAAAAAATTTCAATAATTGACAAATGTAGACTTAGAGGAATGATACGCGGCTAATTTGCACCCAAAATATCTCAAAATAACATCTATGACGTGGTGCAACCAAAATAGCTCGATAGTAAATTCGTGGAATTGCAAATATGTTTCATATTTTTTTTTTGCAAATTTTTCGCGATTTTCCAATTTTTTGAACCTTTTAAACCTTCCCTGAAGCTCTACGAACATTTCAAGACTATGATAAGAAAAATCCGTTCAGCCGTTCTCGATTTTTTTTATATTATGTTGGGGAAAAAGAAATCCATTATTGTTATATGAACTATAGGACTTTATTTAACATGGTTCGGAATGTTCAAATATGTACCGTAACATCAAAATGCCTTTCTTATATAACTACTGCTGTCTATTTGCAAAAAAAACTGTAGAAGTCGATTTTCACAATGCAAGAAAAAATATGATTGGTGCCAAGTCCGGATATGATTGGTGCCAAGTTCCCCAACCCAACACATTGAACATCAATTTAAAGGTATATTTAAGGACATATTTGGCCTACTAGAAGTAGGCCGGTTTCTCTAACAGAATTGTTCTCTACCGAGGTTTTAGTGCCAACATTTCCTTCCGCATTAGAAGCTATTTTACACGCAAATGTAGATAAACAATTATTTCTGTAAATATGTAAAAAATTTTGAACCCAATAAATTGTTGAATTCTTTTTAATGTCACCTATTTTTATTTCCACGTCGAGTCGTATTGGTGTTGAACTCCATGTTCACCAAAATTAATTACTTAGTGTCCAGTTTTGTTTATTTTTATGTACGTCAATAATTAATTGCGTTATCAGTTACTATCAACCACAGACATTTCAGGTTATTCTAAACCAATTGCTATGTAGCCATGGGCAGCTATCCCAACGTTTGGGTGGTGGACAGACAAATAGCAGACAGTAACATTTTTATTTGACGCTCAAACACTTGCGTATACGATTGGAACCATCATCGCGTCTTATTTCGCCAACTTGTCAATGAAAGACATCGAATCGATGAGCAGACAACGAGAGCCATCGCGTACCCAGCGTTACACACTATGGATTCTACTCGGAATTTTCAATTATGGACGTTTTCTCGATATCATTAACTGCCGGTGGGATGCCCGGCAAATGCAATTGCTTCCGGTTAACAAGTTCTACAAGACGGCAACTTCTATATTCCGAGTGTTTATTGTCATTGTCTATTGGGATGTCGTGCCGGATGTATTGAACAGCTTCCTGAACAAACCGAAAGGATTCGTGAATTTGTTTTCCATGTTCCAAGTCACGTCGGTGGTGGTATTCAGCGTGGGTTTGTTTCTTATGAAGGTGCGGGACAGCTTTAAGATCATGCAATTGATCAATAGATTCGTCAAACTGAATGTGAGAGTGGCTGAACTGTCGCATCACAGATTTACCCTTTGCAAGAAGTCTATAAGTCTGTTCGTTTTGAAGACGGTCATAACTCTGCTGGGTTACATCAACGAGATGCCCCACATTTTGGAAGTGCAGGGCCTGAACATAAACTCGTCGGTCAATATTGTCATTGGCGTTTACTTATGGCTGGGCTCGATGTATGTTTTGGATGCTTGCTATTTGGGCTTCCTCATGTTGGCTCTTATGTACCGAAATCTGGGGAACCATTTGCAGGTCATGTTGAATAGTATGCAGCACATCGAAGGCGGCAGCCACGTGGGGGGTACCCTAACCACATACAATCGCATGAAGCAGTTATGTGATTATTCTGAGAAATTGGACAACTTGGGCTCCGTATACACACACCTGTATCAAATCACAAAGGACTTCGTGAATATTTTCCAATGGAACATCCTTTACTACATCTACTACAACTTTATGGTAATTTTTCTGCTGCTCAATCACTGCATTTGGCAGTACATCCGCAGCAATTTCATAGACTTTACAGAAATCATGTTCGTCTTTGTGAAAATCGCCAACCTGGTTCTGATGATAATGTGCGCCAACGACACCGTCGACAAGTCAGAAATGGTCAACCAGTTGAATTTGGATATAGTCTGTTCGGACATCGATGCCAGGTGGGACACAAGTGTAGGTGACCATCCCGTTCCGCATTAATATTTCTTTTGATTGATTATGAATAATTACCTTTGCAGGTGGAATCGTTCCTTAGTCAGCGTAAAGTGGAGAATCTTGAGATCAAAGTGTTTGGCTTTTTTACCCTGAATAATGAGTTTATTCTGATGATGCTATCGGCAATTATCACGTATCTCTTTTTCATCATACAGTTCGGAATGAGTGGTGGCTTTGGTACATCGTCCATAGCTGATTGAAATCAATTCAAATGTGCGTAAATAATGGACTTCATCTACAGCACCAAATTTATTGCGATGGATTTTCCTTCAAAATACGAACTAATAAATATATTTAATGTCCATATACATATAGGGGTTTGTTGTTAAACGAATTAGAGATATAACGAATGGATTAATATATACATATATGTATATATATTTTTTTTTTGGTCGCACAAAATTTCCACCATCGGATGAGGATATATATCAAATTCGCGGCGGTATGAAATAAGTCCCCAAACAGAAAATGAAATAAGTCCCCAATTTGTTATACACAAAACAAAAACAACTATAATTGGGGACTTATTTCATTTATGGGGGACTTAGTTCATTTTAAAATTTGGGGAGTTATTTCATTATGAAAAACCCCCAAAAATTTAAAACTATATAAGTCCCTAATGCCAATTATTTCAGTCATTAAAACCTATGCCAAAATATGGACACATATAATTAAACCTCATTACAAAAATGGTGAGCCAATTTTTTATATTATAAAACCAACACATGAAATATATCCCACACTATATCTGAATCATTGGCTGAAACTTGAACGTATTCTAAATAGGAAATAAAACCGGCTTTATTTTGTGAAAAAATGTTAATACATATACATTGGATATACCAAATTGTCCATTACAAATACCTCAACAATTTAGCTAGCTATGGAAGGTATTATTGTCAATTTTATTATATTCAGGAAGTAAATATATAAATATGAATCCTACATGGAGACAACTGAGACAACTTATATGTGCCTTTATGGTTCCTCTAATATATTATTCATGATGTGATTGTTCTTCGATTGTTTTTAATTGCAGTGGGAAGAAGTAATACAATTTCTTATTGAGGTAGAACATCGGGCGTTAATAAGTATTGCTTTGAGTTAATCATATAATATGCATATGGCCTTAGCTCCTATATATAAATCTAAACCGATTTCCACGAAACTTAGCACACATCATTCCAGACATATAAAAGCTTTCGTGCATATCAAAAGATATATAGGGACTTTGGTTCACCATTTACATTAAATCGGACAAAAATATATATGGGAGCTATATCTAAAATGGACCGATTTCAGGAAACTTTACACACATCATTCTAGACGTAATTCAGTACACTATACCAAATTTCATGCAAATCGAATAATATATAGGGACTTTGGTTCACCATTTACATTAAATCGGACAAAACTATATATGGGAGCTATATCTAAATATGGACCGATTTTCTTCAATTTCAATAGGGGTTTGGTCCTTAGGCCAAATATGTGAATTGTGCCAAATCACATCCAAATCGGATTATAAATGCGACCTGCACTTTGTTTACAATTTAACATCAACTCAAGGACGGACATGCATACATCGACTCAGAAAGTGATTCTATGCATATTCTAAAAAGGAACCATGTGTTTATCTATATGCACAAAGACATAATACCCTGTACCACAGTGTGGTCAAAGGAATCAAACAGATTTCTACTTACCTCCTTAAAATGTATGCTGCCGGTTGTTGAAGTGGTTTCTTCAAAGCAAAACTGTGCAAAAAAAACAACTACAGGAAATGTACTGCGATATTATTCCTACCAGCTCCTCAAAATCAATATCGGCACCGTCGCGACCTTTCAACACAAATGCTCTGCCTCGTACATTAAGATTCAGCTTCTTTACAACTAACAATGAAAAACAATAATTAGCAAAGTATTTCATTGGTAATTGCTTGTAAGCATCACTCACTTGAAAGTAGTATTCTTTTCGGAGTGAAATCATCACTTTCCGGATCAGAAATCTTAATTATGTAAAATTTTCCACCACTTTTAACTTTCACGAACATTGCAATGCTTTTTTCTTACTTTTCTTCTTCTTTTATTTGTAAACACGTGAGAGAGAGAGACACAACTTAATACCTGTTTTTAATACCTTACATGGTGTTGTTTTTAAACTTTAAGGAATAACATTTTTCTATGTAAACAAAACAAGAAAAATCATGACAGAGAGACACAACTGTTGGTGTTGTTTTTAAACTTTAAGGAATACAATTTGTCTATGAGAGAAATTTAGTTCTTTTTTGGTGTTAAAATTAAACTTAAAGTGATAAACTAAATAGAAACAAATCTAATTCCTTTTTTGGTGTTATATTTAAACCAAATGGAATTGTTTTTTCTTTTATAGAAATAGTTAAATCAAATTTTGGTGTTATTTTTATACCCAGTAAGCATTAAAAAACTCAAATTTCTCATGATGTTAAAATAATTCCCTGAAGTATTTAAATTTGTACCATACGGTTTAAAATATAAACTACTTTGGAATTAATAAGTTCTTCCTGAGATAAGTGAAACAAAAATATGTATGTTTATGTATACTGTAATACATGGAGAAATAAATTCGCGCGAATTTTTTTGTTTGAGTCCAAAATAACTGCATATTTTCACAACTTCTCAAATTTCTTTCAAATACTTTATTTCTCCATGTATTACAGTATACATAAACATACATATTTTTGTCTCCTTTTCTAATTACCTCTGCAGTAGTGGCTTTTAGAAATTCTTGTTGCGTAGTAAAACTAGAAGTAAAATTCAAAAAAACATTCATAATCGAGCTTTAAAATCTCAGCAACATTTCAATGTAGATGCAGTTGTAGGTCAATATCATGAAAATTACAAAAATCTTTTAAATTCCTTGAAACTGAGGTTTGCATATAATTTAAATTCATTTCTATAAAATGAAGTGTTCATGTCAAAATCTTAAAATATTGGTAATAAATAATAAGTTGGGTGGAAGCTGTGATGGTGGTAATGTAAAAACATGGGTGAAAAAGTGTTGAAGCCAACGAGTTTTTTTGTGTTCCTTCCTGATTTGTGGCTAAACTAAACAACGCACGCACATGTGATCAGTGACTGACTTGCAGAATACCCCATGGACAATATGGTTCTAATGTATGATTTTTTGATATAATCACTGCATCCAACCATTGAATTTTTCTTATAATTAGGATGCTCATCCAGATAATGGACTAAATTAATTATAGGATTGTACAACTCGTGATTTCGCTTCGTTTAGTGTATATCTCATGAATGTGGTCATCGTAGCTTCTTTGCAATTGGGTTCCAAAGGCGCAAATTTCGTGCGTAAATTTTTATAAAAAACATATTTTTTGAGTCTAAAATTAAGAAAGTCCATTCAAATATCGTGGAACCCCGCGTGAGCCCATCCATGTTCAATTCCGCCCATTAAAACGGCGGATATAGGTACCTTGAATGTGGGAAAACTGCAAAAACTTATTTTGACAAATCCGCGTATATAATCGCGTTTTTCTTCGAATTCGTTACACATACAATCATTCTTGTGTTATCATATTCGCGAATCTGTGTGAACATAGGTCAAAAATATATCGATAGGCGAATAATATGCGTATTTTATCCAAAATCGATTGTGGAGGCACATCCGCGGTTTTTTTAAAATATGTGTCCTTTTGTGTATTTTCATAGGATATTACTGAAATCGGATGCGCATAAAAATCGTATGCACATCGAAAAATGCATAATTATTGGAAGAGATTGATGCGGTTTATACGAAAACCGAATGCGCATAAACTGATTTCAACGAATACGCGAACTGTATGCTTTTTAATGTTGATCATTTTCTACAGTATATGATATATATTTGTTCATTTTTAAAGTCAAAACTCTTAACAGAGGAATCTACCGATATTTAACAATCATCTCAAAGAATTTGTAGAAGAAATCGTCACGTGTTGTAGAAGATCTAGACTAAACCGTATTATCTTTACCATAACAAAAAATCAAAAATTGAAAAAACATTTTGTGGCAATTCAAAAATTAATTTATTTTCAGATATCTTCAAGAAAACAAATACAGTGAGTGTAAAAAGTATTTTGCCTCAATAAAAATTTGAAAAAATTCCAATACATACGCCTGAAGCCAGCAAACTAAAGATGTAAAATGACTTATGTATGATGGAGTATATTTGTGGACATATTTAGATCGTATTTCTGCAAGAATCACAGCGAAAGACCTATTGGTCTCGAAGATATCGGCCGAAATATATAACAATCCAAAAATGTTTATCACAAAAAAGTATTTTGCTTTTTATTATTATTTTAGAAAAAATTGCGGTTAACCACATACTATAAGCAATTTGACCACGATTCCATTACATCACGGCATTTTTTTCGTGGGTATTTTCTCACATTTACATTCAATACATTCTCCATCAGTATTTCATTTAATATTTGGTATTTTCTCGTCCTAATCTTAAGGTGAGAGTATTAAAAATAGTCATTGCGGCTTCAAAATATCCCAAAAATGTTTAGAATAATAAAGAAGAGGTTTTGCAAAATATAACGCGAGGACAGAACCTTAAAAACTATAAAAACCAAAATACGACAAAAAAATTATTTAAGGGAACCCCCCCCCCCCCCACCATTCTCGTTTTTTTTATTTTTAAGATTTTAAATGGGCTGGTAAATGAATACCAATGCTTGTTAAGGTTTGTAACTTGGCACATATGTATTTGAAGATTTAAAAAGGAAGAAAAATAATTTACCAAAATTTGTTGTTGTTGTTTTGTTGTTGTTTTTTGGGTTCAAAGAAAAGTCCATATTTTCGATGGCGGGCATGATAACTCCTCACTGGAACATCGGAATCCGAAAATTCCAACTGTTTTAGAAAGAGGACATGTCTGGCTCTCGTATGAACTAGGATTATTGACTTCGCAAAACAATTAACAAAATGGCGGAACTTTGAAAAAATTTTTATGGAAAATCGCCTATTTTTTACCACAAACTAAGTTAAAAAATAAGGAAGATCTTCACCGATTGGCTTTATCCTAGTTCATACGAGAGCTACACACTCCCAGAGAAACGTGTCAAAATTTGAAACCGATTGGATTCGTTTTGAGAAAAACGCGTTTAAAGTTTGAGAAGCCCTTTAGCCGTCACTTGATGCTAACACAATAAATC